GTGAGTACATACACACAAGGTTCAGAGTTGAAAGCAGGAACAACTTACCTTTAGGAAACAGAGAGAAACATGTAAAAAACGAGTATTAGAGTGTTTAGTAGTACGTCAGAGGTGAAGCTAGTGACCTACTTGTGCGTGACCTTCAAGCTCCTCGCTTTAAATATCGCCACAGCCTGCGTGATGTAACTTTTTTTGTTTGTTCCCTGATAGAAATTGTGTTGCATCTAGGCTGAGGTCAATTTTGAGAGCAGTGTGTGTTTGGACGTTTTGTACTCACCAAGTTGAGTCGAGCTTCGGCTCTTGGCTCCACTTCAACTACAATCGACAGCCTTATTAGTTCCTGGCATCCTGGGCCCTATCATACCTACTCTTGAAACTGTGTATTGAGTCTGCCTATACTACTTCCTCATCCAGCTCGTTCCATTTATTTACCACTGAGACAAAAGATTTTCCTTACATCTCCGTGGCTCATCTGTCTCTAGCTTCATTTATAACTTCTCATTCCTATGCCTCTCATTTCAAAAATTCTGTCCCTGTCTGCTCTGTCAAGGTCTCTGATTATCTTGTATGTCATAATCATGTCTCTCCTAATCCTTCTTTCTTTGAGAGGAATACGTCGGGTATCCACTAAGATATTCCTCACATGTGAGGACTATCTCGGTGGATACTTCCACCGTGAGGGATACCCTGAGGTTCTCCTCACATCCTCATAAGTCCTCAGGTTCAGCTCGTTTAGTCTCTCTTCATAATTCAATCTCCTTAGTTCTGGGACTAATATTGTTGCAAATCTCTGGACCTATTCTAGTTTTCATACATGCACGACGAGGTGGGGACTCTGTGCTAGTGCTGTATACTCCTTAGTGATGTTAGTTTTAACTCTTCATCACATACACACACGTATACACACACACGCACGCACGCAAGCACGCAAGCACACACACACACACACACACACACACACACACACACACACACACACACACACACACACACACACACACACACACACACACACACACGCACGCAAGACTGGATCTTGTGTTCACCCTGAGCAGTTCAGACATTGAGGACATCACTTACGAGAGGCCCCATGGAGCTAGCGATCACGTGGTTCTGAGTTTTGATTATATAGTAGAGTTACAAGTGGAGAAGGTAACAGGAACTGAAGGGGACAGGCCAAACTATAAAAGGGGGGACTACACAGGTATGAGAAACTTCCTGCAGGAGGTTCAGTGGGACAGAGAAATGGTAGGAAAATCAGTAAACGAGATGATGGAATATGTGGCAACAAAGTGCAAGGAGGCAGAGGAAAGGTTTGTTCCCAAGGGAAACAGAAATAATAGGAAGACCAAAACGTGTCCTTGGTTTACCCGAAGGTGTAGCTAGGCAAAAACTAAGTGCAACAGAGAATGGAAAAGGTACAGGAGGCATAGGACCCAGGAAAACAAGGTGATTAAGAGCCAGAAACGAGTATGCACAGATAAGGAGGGAGGCCCAGCGACAGTATGAAAACGACATAGCATCGAAAGTCAAATCTGACCCGAAACTGCTGTATAGCCACATTAGGAGGAAGACAACAGTCAAGGACCAGGTGATAAGGCTGAGGAAAGAAGGTGGAGAACTCACAAGAAACGATCAAGAGGCATGTGAGGAGATCAACACGAGATTTAAGGAAGTATTTACAGTAGAGACAGGAAGGCCTCTGGGGGGACAGACCAGATGGGGACACCAGCAAGGAATACACCAACAAGTGTTGGACGACATACATACAGTGAGGAGGAGGTGAAAAAAACTGCTAAAGGACATCGATACCTCAAAGGCAATGGGACCGGACAACATCTCCCCATGGGTCCTTAGAGAGGGAGCAGATATGTTGTGCGTGCCACTTACCACATCTTCACACGTCCCTGGAAATGGGCAACTACCTGAGGTAGGGAAAGGGACGGCAAATGTAGTTCCCATTTTTAAAAAAGGAGACAGAAAAAAAAGGCACTAAACTATAGACCTGTGTCATTGACGTGTATAGTATGCAAAGTTAGGGGAGAAGATTATCAGGAGTGTGGTGGAGCACCTGGAACGGAACAAGAGTATAATGCCAACCAGCACAGATTCAGGGAAAGGGCCCAAATCCTGTGTCACAAACCTTCTGGAGTTTTATGATAAAATAACAGAAGTAAGACACGAGAGAGAGGGGGGTTGATTGCATCTTCTTGGACTTGCAAGAAGGCATTTGACACAGTTCCTCACAAGAGATTTTAAAGCAGAAGCTAGAGCATCAGGCGCATATAACAGGAAAGGGGACTGCAAAGGATCAGAGAATACCCGACAGGGAGGCAACAACGAGTCATAGTACGTAATGATGTATCACGTGGGCACCTGTTGACGAGCGGGGTTTCCCCCAGGGGTCGGTCCTAGGACCAGTGCTATTTTTGGTATATGTGAACGACATGATGGAAGGGTTAGACTCAGAAGTGTCCCTGTTTGCAGATGATGTGAAGTTAATGGGGAAAATTTAAACAGATGAGGACCAGGCAGGACTTCAAGAGACCTGGACAGACTGGACACCTGGTCCCGCAAATGGCTTCTCGAATTTAATCCTGCCAAATGCAAAGTCATGAAGATAGGGGAAGGGCACAGAAGACCACAGACAGAGTATAGGCCCAGGTGGCCAAAGACTGCAAACCTCACTCAAGGAGAAAGATCTTGGGGGGAGTATAACACCCAGCATGTCTCCGGAAGCACAAATCAACCAGATAACTGCTGCAGCATATGGGGCCTGGCAAAACTGAGAACGCATTCCGATACCTTAGTAAGGAATCGTTCAAGACACTGTACACCGTGTATGTCAGGCCCATACTGGAGTATGCAGCACCTGTTTGGAACCCGCACTTGATAAAGCACGTCAAGAAACTAGAGAAAGTACAAAGGTTTGCGACAAGGTTAGTTCCAGAGCTAAGGGGAATGTCCTATGAAGAAAGATTAAAGGGGAAATCGGCCTGACGACACTGGAGGACAGGAGGGTCAGGGGAGACATGATAACGACATATAAAATACGGGCGTGGAATAGACAAGGTGGACAAAGACAGGATTTTCCCAGGGAGGGGACCACGAAAACAAGAGGCCACAATTGAAGTTGAAGACACAAATGAGTCAGAGAGATAGTAGGAGTATTCTTTAGTCATAGAGGGTTTTAAGGCAGGGGGAATAGCCTAGAAAATGACGTAGTGGAGGGCAGGAACCATACACAGTTTTAAGACGAGGTTTGATAAAGCTCATGGAGCGGGGAGAGAGAGGGCCTAGTAGCAACCGGTGAAGAGGCGGGGCCAGGAGCTAGGACTCGACCCCTGCAACCACAAATAGGTGAGTACACACGCACACACACACACACAATATATACATCATATGTGTGTGTGTGTGTGTGTGTGTGTGTGTGTGTGTGTGCAAAAATCGCGAAAAAACGATACAAGATGCAAAACAACTATCGGAGGGAGTTGAATTATAGCTCTAGACCTTTCATCGGGAGCTAGTAGTGCTGCAGAAAAGAGAATGAAGTCCAAGCAAACACGTTCAGAGGAAGCGTTTTTGCTCGAATGAGGGAAGAGGGAAGCAGTAGATGTTAAGTGCCCCAGGTTGGGTGCTGGTTGGTATACCCGGGGTACTTATCGTCTACTGCTTCCCTCTTCCCTTTCTCTTATAGACAAACACGCTCCAGAAATTGAGGATGTCCTTCCCTCCTTCCTTGGATCAAACCTGGTTACCCCCCGTTTCACTTAGGTACTGTATGACCCTTGAGAGATTTAAGGTTCTCCACGAGTATAATAATTAACTTGATGAAGCGTGGGGCTGTGTCACCAGCTTCATCTGTTTTAATTGTTAAGGTCATATCATGACTAATATCTTACTTGGAGCAAAACTCTTCTCCAGGCTGAGGGACTGACCACCTCAAATTACGTCTTCAAGGGCGATGTACTGATTACATCGTCTTCACATCTCTTCTGCTAACTCTTCTGTACTCGACTGAAGAAGTCTACTGTGTAGGTGAAACGCTTCAGAATAAAGATACCTAACTGTTGCACATGTGTCTTACTTATCGTATTCCACTGTATACGATATTTTATACCATTTTCATTGTATACCATTTTCATATTTACAGCTAGGCCTTAAATATTAAGATATTACCCAAATGGAAATAAATCACTTTGTACGACATTTTTTTTTTTGGCTTATCCTAGGTAATTTACACACATGTTAATACTGTTGTGATAATTGTGCATATGTTTACCTGTACCTAAATAAACTTACTTAATACAGTCACACACTTCACGTTTCTTCTTAGAAATTTTTATTAAATTGCCAGTAACTATTTACACATTGAGATACCACTGTTTAGACATTGAGATACATTGTTTCCTTTCAGACAATGCGCGATACTACCTTCTAGACATTCAGAAACCACTTTTACGATACTTGAGATACATTACCACTTTGCAGATGCTGCTGCATTCCTGGAGCCAGTATCAGACATACTATTTTTTTCCAAACACTATTTGTTCACACTGGTAGCATTTTACTTTGGCACATTCCGTACAGTTCGGCCTGACATATGTCGTATTAAGGGCCATTTGCTGAGATTCCTGAAGGCTACTCTTAGATTTGCCAACTTATTCGGTTGATGTGAACCTCTTGCGATATACTGAGCACTATGCTCACCCTTTTTGAATGAGGTCTACAAACTCTGTCCCTAAGTCTATTACCTTTTTTCAGGTCTTCTTTTGTTTCCCTTCCCAATCTTCATTACCCAGAACTTGCTGGGGTTGAATTCAAGCAACCACTTATCTGAGCAATTGTGCAGTTTGTCCAGATTCATTTGAAACTTCTCCCTCTTTCCTAAATAACAAAAAAAGGCACAATACCGTGACTGGAACGATACACAAATAACCCGCACATAAAAGAGAGAAGCTTACGACGACGTTTCGGTCCGACTTGGACCATTTACAAAG